TAGGTGCTCAATAAAAATATGTATTTGTTTTATTAATGAAGAGAATTAATGCCAAGTAATTCCGTGCCTTCAACTCAGTCATCTGTAATCCTTGAGCCTTTTGTAAAGATCGCTATTCCATCCTTCACTTACCACTGAGGCTGTGGTCATCACAGCGCATCAGTGGTCAGGGGAGTTACAGTACTAAGGCTGAGCTCTTCTAGTTGTCACGGTGTATGGAAAATTCTTTTGCTTAAAGTGAATGAGTTTCTTACCACCTTAAAAATATATACTGCAGGCCTTCCAGAATCCTGTGTGCTCTTAAAAATGTGTTCTACTCCTTACAAATGAGAATTTGGCAGGTTTCTGCAGTGTATGAGGAGCTGGTGCCTATGTTCTGTGTTTTTTTGCCCATATACCCTGTCCTAGGTACTTGTATTGGGGGGAAAAGCATTTTATGTCTAGATAGGCTAGAGGGTCATAAAGACTTGTCCAAATTGTTACCTGTGGTAGGTAAGTAATACTATACCAGCATGGATTTTTTTATTGGCCTTTGGTATTCAGAATATTTGTTGAATCATAAAATACATATAAACCTGCTTTACTCAGTTTGCTTGAGTAAACATTTGCATTCACTTGCTCTTAATGATTAAAAGTACAAACTGTCAAGTACAAAGGACTTGGGTTCAAATCATGATTGCCACATACTGACTGGTATCTGTTTCCTCATCTCTAAATTGGGGATCATGATACTACTGTAAAGTGGGAACAGATAACACTTTCATTTCACTGGCTTATGGGGTTTTGCCTCTTGTTGATGCTGTTATCTCGTTTAACTCTCTTAACTACTGTATCAGTTAGGACTAGAATTGGTTGGAAAATAGGGGCTTTGGTAGTTTTATTTTTTTCTCGGGCAAATAAGTACAGAAGTCAAATTAAGACCCCCAGATGCTTCTGTCACTGTGTGTAGACTTTAAATTCGTGGTCTACAAATTGGTGCCAGAGCTCCTGCCATCACTTCTACATTCCACACAGCAGGATGGAGAAGGGGTGGAAAAAGAGTGTGCTTCTTTCCTGCAAGACTTTTATGACTTTCTGATTATATCTTATTGACCAGAACTTGGTCACATTGCCATACCTAGCTTTAAAGGAAACTGAAGAATATAATTTTTTTCATTCAGAAATAGACTTCTCTGCAACTACACTCAGTTGTTCTTCGCATACCTGTATCTCTCTGGGTCTACTTCTTTTGTTATTCTCCTCTGCTTTGTCTATTTTTTTTCCCATATAGTTTCTTTATATTCATACTTTTGGCTTACTCATAAATTTATGTTGCTGTCATTATTCATGGTTATGAAGTTACTTAATAGCTTTGCTTTTTGTATTCTGTCAGCTTCTCTTTGTACTGCTAACTGCTTCATCTTCTCAGTATTTTTCAATTGAAATTTTGGAGAGAAAAAATATGATTAGTCTAGCCTGGCTCTTTCTGCTAGGCTGCACAGTGGGTGTTGGCCAGCTTAGGATAGATGCCTGCTAGTTTAATCAAGTTTGGCATCTTGCTTATGGGCTTTTTTATCTGAAAGGGTGTAGAGGCAAAATGAACTCTATAATGTGGCTAACATGCTTAGTCTTTGACAAATGAAAATTCTTTTACAGGGAGTTAGAGATAAGTCTTAAAATGAGGTTGCTTTGTATATTAATATGAATGAATTTTAGGTAATATTTAGATGGTAGTTATTAATAACTGATAGATTAAGAAGTGTTTATTTGAAAAGAATGGGAGTGTGTTTTAGGCATCGTTGGGGAAATAGAATAGTTTCATCAGAGCCCTCGCCTTGGGTCCAGTTGGGTGTGGTTCAGCATCCTTTGTAAGCAAATCGTGCCATTTGTGTATGTGTGTGTTTGTGTGTGTGTGTGTGTGGAGTTAGTGTACATGTGCGCCAATGTATCTTTTTAGTTTTGTTGCTATTTCTGTGTTCTCTAGAGAGAGAGAGAGTGAGAGAAAAAAGGGGAGAGTAGAGAGAGGAGTTTTGGTGAAGCAGGCGAGCATCTGCCTCGGGCGTCTGCCCCGTGCAGCCATTCTTTCCAACCTACGGCTTCCAAGGACCTGCATGAAGGGGTCTGGTGACCCAGCCTGGTATGTGTGGGGTCTGGTGACCCAGCCTGGCATATGAAGGGTTTGTGACTCAGTCTGTGAATGGGCTTGAGGGGTCTGGGAGGTCCAGACCCAACCCTAGCTCAACAATCGGCCCAGTTGGCAGGATTCCAGACATTAGCAGTAGCCCCACAGGCTTATACAAGCAGCCCTCAAGTACTTGCATATCCTGTAATGTTTTTTTTTTTTAATTTTTAAGTTTATTTATTATTACTTTTTTACATTCTGTGATGTTGTGGAGCAGTTGGTGGGGAGGGGGAAGTAGGGTGGAAGAAGGAGGAAGTAGAAGGGCCAGTGTTGAGGCCTGTGGCTCCCCCTTCATTCCTGCAGGGGAGACCAGGGGGCTTTCAGCAGTGGCTTGTTCATTGCTGGGCTGGGTGCAGATGTCAGGGGATATGGCTGAAGCCCTCACCCTCGACTGCCCAGCTTAGGAGCCCAAGGTGCTTCTTGCAGTGGCTCAGTGGTCATCGCTGGGCTGGTTGCCAGTGTCAGGGGGGCATGGCCGAGACCCTCAGCCCTGCACTAGCCCTGCTCTGGAGAGCCTGGGCCACTTCCTGCAGCTGCTTGGTGTCCTGTAATGTTTCTTGCTTTAACTCATGCTGTCACTTTTTTCTAGAATGCTCTTCTTTTCTATACCCCCTTTCACCTAACTTCTGATCTTTTAAAATTCAGTTCAGGAGATGCCTCTCTAGAGAGTCTTTCCAGACACCCCTATAATTATGGGTTCAGTGCTCCTGCTCTGTTTCCCTAAAACCCTTTGTGCATGCCTCTTATTGTGTTGAATACATTTAGTGCACTTGTCTGTCACAGGTGTGTTCTGAGCTAGAAGATTGTTGATGCCAGGGTTTCGTCTTACTTATCTTTGCGTTTGTAGTATCTGCCCGGAAGTGACTGCCACATTAAAGATACTCCACAATTTTTTTTTTCTTTCTTTTTTTTTGGATGGAATTTTTAAATCCCTAGTGCCTGTTAAAAGGTGGTGGAATAAATCCTCTAAGGTAAGTGGTACTCAGTATTTTACTCTGGTAAATTAGAAGGGGACTTTTTCCTCTCTCTCCATATTTTTTAATTAGAATTTTCAGAAAGAGAACTGTTGTTTCAGTATTTGAGCCAAAGTCTGTTTTTATTTGGATATTACACATGATTTTTCATGATGTTTTGCAGAAGATTGGCTAAAATTTTACTGGGATGAAATCTAAAGTTCTGATATGATGATTTATGGTTTCCTTTGGTTAGTTTTGCTGGATGACTGTTCAGTCTCTGAGGTTATTTCTGCTAGATGGTTTTTCACATCTTTGTAATTGAATTTCATGAAAAGAACATGTGCTGAAGATTTTTTTTTTTTTTTCTAACAGGTGAGGGCAGTGATTTCTTTTGAATTACTGGTTGAACTCTCACATATTCCATCCGTGGACAGTTACAGATTGCTTGGGAAGTATAGATGCTCTCAGGGTGATGGTGGCACTGTTAAAGCTAAAAACATTTTAGAAAATGTTGAGAGGCCAATTTTGTTACCTTTGTGTAGATGCAAATGTATCTTTTCAGGTTGATTATCACCATCCTTTTTCCTAGTCTGAAGAAGCTATAAAATAGATGCTGAGGAGCAAAATCCTCCACGTTTTGTAAATAAAACTTCATTTTATTTTGTAATGAGTTTTTTTTAAAAAGTTACTTGTTTCCCATTTGGAGAAAATAATTTTTGAGCATACTAAAGAAGTTGTTAAATAATTCACTGTTAACGTTTTCAGTGACAGCACTAACAGAAGGAGATACCAGTTCTGAAGTATTTGGCATTCCCAAATGTTTATTTCTATTCTAGAGGAGTGACTGAAGCATAATGACAGACCAACTTTTGCTCAGAGAGAATCCCACCCATGCAGCTCTTTGGCATTCCAGTGTACCTTGGAATGGTGCTCCCCCAAATCCTGCATCTTTGCCTCCAACTCATTTATTCAGGGATGCTGTTGAGAGAAAATGCTAGGTCTTAATTAACTTCCTTTGACAATAGATTATCCAGGCTAGGGCCTCATCAGAAAGGCTTTTTAATGCTCCCCCACCTCCTTTCTTGTTTCACCAGATTGAACATATTACTTCCAGGACTCTGAAGAGTTGGCTTGGCTATATTAATTTTTATTTTTATCACAAGCAAAAGTATAGAGGAGAAAATAAAGAAATATGACTGTTATATTGCTTTGTATCAGGATGAGGGATTGTGTTGTGCAGCAAAATTAGAACTGTCAATTATATTACATATTGAAAAAAATAGTCCTCTTAAAAAAAGAAAATTATTGTGTCTTTTCACCCTCTGGTAGAATTGAAATTATAACTTGAAATCAATTTTCTTTTTGGGCTGTATAGTAAATAACATTTATTTTTTGCCATCTTGTTGAAGATTTTTTTTTCTCCTTTATTTTCATGCTTACCTTTGAAATTTCTTAGGGAAAACCACAATAAACTGTAAGTAATCACATTAATTTTCAAATTGAGTGTTTCTTTTTCTTTTTTTCTGTCTTACATATTTTTTTTATAGACTTGTCTTAACAGATTTTGACCAATCTGTGACTTGCTTTTTATAACATGTCTTTTTTGTGCTTTTATCAGATGAAGTAGCAAAGAAGATGAGATTGATTTTGAAATAATGTTCTCTAGTTCTTCCTCAGGCAAGTCTAGATGTCGGTTTGTGAATGCTGATTTAGAGGCTACTGGGTCAGAGCTTATCTGGGATACAGATTCATTCTTCAATTGGCAACAATGAGCTTCTTATCCCTCATTCCAAACTATGCCTTATGACCCATGAGCTTACAGTTAAAATATACTTGGAAAGAATATGAAGTAACCACTTAAAATTTATTGCCAGTTACTATACTATGATCAAAGGAAGCTTGGTTATGCTTTTAAATATGTCTTTATATTTGATTCCCACTAATTAGAGGGAAGAGGCCATCCTTAAGAATATTATTGTTAAAATGAATTTGGAGTTTGGGTGATAGACATACTATTTGGTCTGAAAGATGATTCAAGGATAAGGAAATATTTGTAAGGATTAGAGCTTAGAGAGAGAGAATGAGAGGTAATAAGGCCAGTCAGAAAAAAAAGTTACACAAATAAGGTTTTAGGTAATAATTTAGGTTTTTAGTAACTAAAGAATACATGTTTCTCCTTTAAAAGATACTTACTCTCTAATGACAAATGCTAGAGCTCTTTCTTATGGCACTGGGGACACCTACTTTTAAAAACAAATGTTGCTCTGTACCAGTCAGGATGAGGTTAGGCTGAGAGAGATGCACACAGTCTTAAACATGGTGGAGGTTTATTTCTATTTCACGTGCCAAGTCTGGAAGAGGAGGGAATGGCAGTGCCGTTGTCATTCCAACTCAGGCTCACTCATCTTCATGTGCCTGCTGTTCTGTGTGACCTCACAATCCAAGACAGTCACTGGAGCTACGTTAAGTCTCAGTTACAGGCTGGAAAAGAAGTAGAAAAGGCAGAAGATCAAAAAGGGGCCCTTCCTAGAGTCAGTTCCCTTTAAGCAGCCTTCACTTATATCTCATTGTGGAGAACTTAGTCATATGACAACACCAGCTCCAAGGAAGGCTGGGAAAATAGAGTGTTTAATCTCAGGTGGCATAAAATAAGATATTTTTCATTTGTGGAAAATAACTTCTCAAGTTTACTTAGAGAATTGTTAAATAATTCGCTGTTATGTTAGAGTGGTTCAACTTGGGGTAATTTCCAAAGGTCGATGGGAAGAACAACATTGGGTGAGGTAATGAGCATTCTCAGTCTTCAGCTCTGAGGGAGCCAGGGGGGTGTTTTCAGTAGTGTATTTCATCTGAAATAAAGAAACCAGTAGTGTTACAATATAGTAACAGTGATATGCTAATAATAGATATGTTTCCCAGTATTCAATCACCAATTATTTGTTTTGAACCAGTGAATGTTTGGAATTTTTTGAAAGTTTAGATTGAGTTTAAGAACTACATCCAGCAAATTATCTTTGAGTTTGATTTTCCCTTGCTGTAATTTTTATTTTGAATGTCCATGCATATAGCCTCTGGCTTTCCAATCTTTTCCTTAGCAATTTCCTTTAATCATATGGAATTCAGTTTCCTATGGATATTGCCTAACAAGGCGGGATTCTTTTGCAGAATCAATCTGCTAGGAATTGTTGGCCTTCAAAAGGAATGCAACTTTGGAAGCCTTTTGGCTACCACAAGAATCTGGGGATCCTATATATCTGCTTCCTTGGCACAATGGATAAAAACCATGATTGCTGAGATTTGTGGCATTATAAACTTTATGGAGAAGCTTTTACTTGACAGCAATAAACCATAATAATAATGTTAGACTGTATAAAGGTAGGGTTATTTTGACTACATATTTTTAATGTGCTAAAAATATTCCTCCAGTTAAAGAAAGGAAAAGAAACCAATACTCATGTTCGGTATGCATGGTTTTGTGACTGGGCATGTGATTTAGGGATCTGAACTTGACTTGGGAGTGAGAAATTATGAATTCTAAACTGAGTAGTACCATTGATATTCTGAGATCAAGGACCTCTCAGTCTTTAAATTCAGCCCATTTAAAACTCAGCATATAACTACAAGCATTTCCCTTTTACAAAGGTTTTTTTCCTATCCATTATAAGGATAATAGACATTTATGATCTAATGAGAATTGAACCTGAAAAAAATAAGTGCTTATAAAACTACTTATAGCAGTCAAAAAATTTATCATAAAAATTGGATATCAGCACAAGATTTAAAAGAAATGAAATTAAACCATTACTAAAAGTCACATTCCTTAAATGCCGCTATTGTATTAGAGGATGAAGTATCTGCTTTATAGTCCCATGATAAAGTGGTATGCCCCATACTTTATTATCCTTCTTAGACATTTGAGCTAGCCTAGAAAAAAAAGCAGATAGAAGAAAAAATTCAACCACTTGCTCATAAAGCAGATGTCAGAATATAGCAGATTTTCGGGCTGGCCCGGTGGCGCACTGGATAGTGCTCCGCTTGGGAAGCGCGGCAGCGCTCCCGCCCAAGGGTTCGGATCCCACATACAGACCGGTTCCCGCTCACTGGCTGAGCGAGGCGCAGGAGCAATGCCGAGGGTTGCGATCCCGTTGCCGGTCCCCGGTCCGGTACGGGGGCAACACTGAGGGTTGCGATCCGTTGCCGGACACGGAAAAA